AGTTTATGGGTTTTGTCCTACTTACTCCCTTAGAACTCGCAATATTTATAGTTTCCAAGCAGTTTAATACGAATGCAGATGAACGTATCAAGCATATCAAAGAATTGCATTCACAAGTCCTAATCTTAATTAGGGAATTTGGTGATATTGTACCAGAAGAGTTGCCACCTAGGTTACCACCTGAAGAAGTTGATATCAACTAAGACGAAGCAGATTCGAGGGCGAATCTTTTCCTAGCGGAGGAGGATGATGCACCCGAGCTGTCTGACTTGGATTGGGCTTTTCTATAATTTATTCAATAGTTTAGGGCTTTTCAATAATTGTTAATTATTTTCCTTTTTGTTATTTTTAAATTATATTTGAGCGTGTGTTGATTGTGCGTTATCTCCTTTGATTGCGCATGACTATAGTTATTTACTTTTTTATTATTTTATTTTGTCTATTTAAGGCTTGGAGAACCCTATTATTATCAGGTTGTTTTTAGTTAAATAAAATTAAGAAAAGAGAAATAGTATTTTCTCGCAATCCTTGTGTTTGTTTTTCTTTCTGTTTAGCCAATATATTACTGATTCAACATTAAATATAAATACTATACACCCTTTTATCAACAAGGTGACTTAATCTAACTAACTAGAATTTCCTTCTAATTATTATATTTTAATTAAAATAGTTATACCCTTTTCTAATATTTCCCCTTCATTAATTATTAGACTTCTAAGATTTCAATTTAAGAACGCAGATTCTTACAAAAGTCATAATATATAGGTATACTTTTCTACCTAATAGTGACATTGTTACCACATTTGTGGCAGCTAAGAGCTCTCCATTTTGTAATCATTTGTACTAGGTTATGTTTATCTCATTTTACATGAGATAAACAACTTTTCTACACACAAAAAAAAAGAATTGGGTCCCACCACTCTTTTTTTTCTCTCCTCTTACCTGTGGCTCCCACTTATAATTTTATTTCTACAACATGAGATAAATATTTTCCTACAACATAAGAAAAATATTTCCCTTGTACTAAAATACAAGGCAAACATACCCTTTGTACGTCAAAACAAATTGAAATCTTATTTGGTTTGTGATTCAATTTTTTTCAATGGGATAGAACGAGAAATAAATAAAATTTTTAGTGAACCAGTACTTTTTTTAACTCATTAAATTTTAAAAAAATTACTTATAATAAGATTTTAAAAACTTTTATTTTATCACTTGAATAAAATTAATTTCTTAAACAAATTCTTGAAATACAATTTTTAAAAAAATTAGTGGTTTTAACATTAAACTCTTAAAAATCAATTCTAATCAATTTTACAAGGGTTTTATTTTTTCCATGTAATATGAGAAGAGAAATTTTCCTAGACACCATTCAATTTTCATGCTAACATAGGTCTTACACATGATTTTGTTAAGCTATATATCTCACATGACTTTTATCTCTATAATATAAGAAAGCTATCTCATGTAACATGAGAAGTATAAAGCAGTGTTATAAGAACCGGACTAGCTCGGCCGGTTCGAACCGGAAACCAGTAAACCGGCGGTGTAACCGGTCCGGGTAACACCAAAGACCGAACATGCTAGTGAACCAGTGTAACTCGGGTTGAACCGGCTGGTTATTATAAAATCGATGACTCGCTGGTCAAAAAAACCAACCCGGTGATGAACTTTATCCAGATCTGTTCTAGATCCTTCAAGATCTGTGATAGAAAAAGAATAAGAAAACTCATCTATAGAAGAAGAAAAAGAAAAACAATATATTTAGATCCACCATAAAACTTGCCCATTCTTTTGGAACCAAGGATGCGAGAACCAATGCATGTAATCCGGCTCGCTCAGAAGTGGATTTGAACCATTGATACAAGAATTTTCAATCCTATGCTACAACCTTTAAAGAAAACTAAAGGAAAGAAAAATAAAGACATTGAAGCAGAGAAGAGTAGGAAAAGGGAGGGCGGGAGAAGGAGTTGAAGTCTCGAAGATGATGCAAATGCTTTTTCTTTTGGGATTCGTACAGCTTTGTGAAGAAGGTAAAAGATGGTTTTGATTTTCCCCAAGTAGAATACAACTGGTAGGCTTTATCAATTTTTTATAAATTAATTAATTAGGACATTTATTGCATTGAAAATTGAAACTTTGAAAGGGTGGTTGTTAAAAAAAATAGTAAATACTATTTTTGGTCCTCAGCAAATTTCACGATACCCGTTTTAGTCTCTAGCAAAAAAAATGGTCATTCGTGGTCCCTAGTTTTTTCAAATTAGGCCCACGTTAGTCCTTCTGTTAATGGGGCTCTAACGTCGTTATTAACGTTTCGGACCGTACCGTTAAGTTGCTGAGTCATAATCCACCCTGGACAAAAAACGACGTCGTTTAATACCTTCTTACTTTTTTTTCCATCTTCTTCTCTCCAGTGCAAGTTCTTCCACTTGCAGCACCAAAATCTCAAACCTAAAAATTGAACCCAGCATTGCATTGTACTCTCTGATGGGAAAAGGAATCGGAAAGGTCTGTCTCTACAACGCCGGCGCCAGAGATATCTCTGGAAGTTCCTTCATATCCTCCATTACTTTTCGGGCCTGGTCAAAGTTTCTATCTGCACCACCCATGCATCAAAATATTGAAAGAATGAGATCAATGAATAAAAGACAATGACATCAATGAATAAAGAGACAAGTACACCAAGAACAATAAGATTAATGAACTTGTAATTGTAATTCTTTACAACAAAATATAATGGTGGTCCGACTCTGAGGTACTCTGAAATGTCACTAAAATATCCCTGGAAACAAAATAATATTAATGAATGTAAGAGGCTGAAGAGTACAAAATGGAACCGCAAGAAATTGCAAAAAAAAAGGGGGGGGGGGGAATTAGAAACTTAAACCTGAAGGTAGGAATCCCGTGGAAGAGCAATTTGTTGCTCCAAATCAGGTTCAATCCTTATGCATAATGCCTATAAAAAATAAACAAGCACAAAGAAAATTACAGTGTCCAAAAAAATCTTAAAACTGAACGCTGATGTTCTCTCATTTCCCAAGCAACTTACGATGCTTGCTAAGGTAAATGCAACAAATATAGCGATGACCAAGATTTTAACTCCTCGTAGTCCGAGAAATGGTGCATGAACCTCCTATATTTACACAATGATAGCAGTGTTAATTTGATAAGAAAAGCAAGTCAAAGTATAATGTCTATGCTGTTAACTTGAGAAAAAAAATTCTTTGACAAAAAATTAGACAAAGAAAACAACATAACTGAATACATAAAAACGGGTAGCTCAATAAAATCTATTTTTGAGTAATCCCCCATATTTGTCCCCCAGAAACTTGGCGATGGACACATTAGTCTAAGAATGTGGAAATTCCACCCTAGTCCTTAAGAACTGCAAATTTTGGTCATATTAGTCTTTAGGCTCCAGAAACATTAGTCCATAGCGGCTGACTATGCTCTGTGATACACAGTCTAATATATGATTGTTTGTTGAAAATCATTTCCACTAGAGAACAACATGCCCTTGCAGAAGAGTAGTCTCCATGCTAAAGGGAATGCAATTCTGTTTTTCTCTCTTCACTTAAATACATCTCCTCATAAGAGTAGTCTCCATGCTAGATGCCCTGTCCTTTAGGGTGATATGTGGTCGACAATTAAATTCAAACACCATTATGTTATTATTATGCTACTCATTTTAATTTTTTGATTCGTGGACCATGTTATGCTTATGATTTATTTGTTTTATTTTTTATGTGTTTGATTCTCCTTTTAAATGATTTAGCAGTTTTTGAATGATTGCAATGGCGTTCTTCATGCCTCTGTTCCAAGGAAGCTACATTCAGGTGCGTGATTTTCAAATTCAAGATTAAACCTTTCTATTCCTCACTGAAAACGCTACTCCTTGTTGCTGGTTTTGGATTAGTGTTAAAGCAAAATCCCTGAAGCTTTTGCTTTTTCTTTATCATAATTGTTGGACTTTGAATTCGGTCTTTTTTCTTTGTTTATGAATTATTGTAAAGATATTTATTCCACTGAGAAACTGTCAGAGATATCTCCGGCGCCGGCGTTACAAAGACGGGCCTTTTCGATTCCATTTCCTATTGGAGAGTACAATGCAATGCTGGGTTCAAGTTTGAGCTTTGAGCTTTTCGTGCTGCAAGTGGAGGTACTTGCATTAGAGAGAAGAAGATGGAAAAAGAAAGAAAGTAAGAAGGTATTAAACGACGGCGTTTTTTGTCCAGGGTGGATTGTGACTCAGCAACTTAACGGTACGGTCTGAAACGTTAATAACGACGTTAGAGCCTCATTAACAGAAGGACTAACGTGAGCCTAATTTGGAAAAACTAGGACACGAATGACTTTTTTTTTTGCTAGAGACTAAAACATACATCGTGAAATTTGCTAAGGACAAAAATGGTATTTACTAAAAATAATAATTTAATAACGTATGCAGCTTTTATATTAAATTGAACCGGTTGGAAGACTTTTATATTTTCATATTTTTTTCATGTATTATTTTTTATTTTATTCACATGTATGCAACTTTATTTTTATTTATAGTAAAGTGTTTATATTTATTTTAATTTAAAATAAAAAATTTATAATCAATATCCTCAAATTAAATATATATATATATATATATATATATATATATATATATATATATATATATATATATATATTTAATTTATCAAATGCGGTTGAATATTGTTAATAAATAAGATTTATAAACCATCTTTTTGCCGCAACTTTGTTTAACATAAACTCTTAAAAATCAATCCCAATCAATTTAAACCCAAAACAATCACTCAACAATGTCTTAGATAAAATATATATATTTTTTTAAAAAAATGGCATACTGAGTTTGCAATGTGAAGCTTGTACTCGGAGTGGTGACATGGCGTAGAGTGATTGGACGAGCTAATTTATGTATGTAACTGCATGAAAATGCAACCGGACATTACAACATTAGTGTCGCACCTAATCCTCATCCACACACGTTTCTGTTCCTTCATTCGCCAAATAAGAAATAACAATATCCAAAACCATACTTGTCACACTTCAGCTTCATCCGTATTTCATCGTAACACAACACTTGCACTTCAACTTCCAGATCCATCTTGCTCTGATCTGCTCTGCTTCCATGGCCACCGTACTCGAATCCCTAGCCGTTGTTCCTCGCTCTTCTTCCCTCCCTTCCGCCGTTTCCTTCTCTCCGATCACCGCCCGCCGGAGCTCTGTCAAGTTGCCGCACTACGCAGGCCTCAAGCTCAGACCCATCACCGCCACTCGCTCCGCTGCTTCGTACACTTCAAGAATCGTTACTCGCAGTGGACGAGTCCTGTGCGAGGCTCAGGATACCGCTGTCGATGGTGAACTTTCATTTTCGTTACAAATTAATAATAATAATAATAATAATAATAATTTTAAAAATAAAAAACGTTGTGTTTTGTTGAGCCGGTGAATTGTCGAAAAAAAAAAAAAACAGTTAAGGTTTGAACTTTTTCTTTTGGGTTTTTTTTTTTAATTGTATTTTGGTTTAATGAAGTGGGTATGCCAATTTTATTATTATTTTTTCTTTCTTTGGGACTTGAATTTATTTGTGTCTGAATCTTTATTTGTACTGATTTGGTTTTGGCTTGTTGGTGACAATGTTTACTTAAAAGGAACAGGTTGAGTTTGGGTTCCCAGGTTAGATTTTTGTTAGTTCTTAAAAACAAAGGGAATTGCTGGATGGAAGGTTTTAGGGGAAAAGTAAAGTTTTCATTTTTGAATATAAAGGGTTATATAGTATTTATAAAAATGAATTCAAGATGTTTGGAAGGATTCATGATAATTTATCATTTTATTCCTTTCATTCTAAAAAGAAAAAAGAAAAAAAAAAGACACTTAAATCAGAGAATATATACTTGAAAAATGAAAAATTTAGCCTTTTTTCCTTTCCCTCTATAACCTTTGGTTCTAGACATGTAGGGAGTTAGATTGTTGAACATCAGGCGTGAGGTGCTGGTGCTAACCATGACAAAGAAAAAATGGAATATGCTTATAAGATTAGATGCCTGACCACGTTTTTTGGTTTCACTAAATGGCACTACATGGCTGTATCTGTTTAATCTTTTTCTTGAGAAAGAAAGGGAGTTGAATGGATGCCCTAATTGATATAGGTAGAGGCTTTGTGGGAGTAGGACCAAGCTCTGTAATGATTATATGGTTTTTGTTTTCTCACCTTTACGCTCCTGTGATGTTATATATCTTGGGCATGAGAAGAATTTCCAACTTACATCCTTGCTTAGCTGACATATATGATAAAATAATCTTTGGTGTAGCCTTCATACAAATTAAATTTGTTCTAGGTTTGTATCTTGGGCTTCATTAAGCATAAATGAGGCCCATACCCAGATAAGATGAATCGGCTTGTTTTCAACCCGTATACACGGAACCCGGGATAGGAGCTTGAAATATGGGCCTTAACCCATGTTTTACTAGCACACATGGGCCGTATCACGATCTTAATAACCATACCCCTATTAACTATCTACAATCATTATAACCGTTAACCAGACCATATATAAATATCATAAGCAGGTTAATGAAGTACACATTATTGAGAGAGATTATTAACCCTTTAATGTTCATAGCAAACATTTGGCGCCGTCTGTGGGGACTGTAAACCTATTCCCACCTCATTACTGGCTAGTAACAACCATCAGGAGTGTAGAATTGGAAACGATCATCTCTTTGGAGAGGAAGAAGAAAATTCTTTCCAATCCAATGGGAGGAGCCGTTCTCTAAACACAATTGGACAAGCCTTGCTTCAGTTAGCGGAAGATATTAGGAATAGACACCACAATGAAAGAAGACGAAGGAGACACCACTCAGAGGAAAGACCACGACGGGAAAATGAGCAGCGGCAAGGGAATCACAGAAGGGGTTCGTGATCCCCTGTTCCTAGTTATATCCCGTTGTCTCATCCTTGGGGACAACGAGAAGCTTGTCAAGAGGACCGTCGTATTCAACATTCGAGGGAGTCAAGGAGTCCCCCAGAAAGAGTAGACAATAGAAGTAGAGGACGAGAGGTGAATCAGAGAAATGAAGAGCGAGTACAGGTAGAATATACTCGGGAGGCGGATAGAAATATGCACTATCAGGAAAGAAGGGAGTACGAACATCAGGAGGAAGGCAGGCAGGAGTTCTACGAGCAACATGATGTTCGTGAAGAAAATTAGCAGGAGTTCAGCCGTCGATATTATGCTCGCCAAGAGGTAGGTCGGTGTGATCAAAGGCGGCAATATGAATATCAGGTGGATAAGATGCAAGAACTAGGCGGGTTCAATCATGGTCGCCAAGAAGAGTATCGGCAAGGGGGACTCAAGTATTACCCTGCCCGGATAGGGAGAATCGAGGAGATATTGGAGGCCATTATCAGCCGGGTAACCAGCGAGACAATCAGGGATGTTACCATTTTCATCAAGCTCGCTAGGAGGGGTACATAGATCCACTTTTTGAAGAACGGGTGATGAACCCAGGACCAGGAGGGCCGTATGGGAATATGCAAGCATGGGTGGCACCATATCAACCACCTTTTCAGCAGAGGATCCAAGTAACATCAGCTATTTAGGGACCATCTGGAACGCCATTATCTTGGAGATTAAGGGCAGAGCCCATTCCGGGTTGGTTCAAACAATCAAATGATATGAAAGCGTATGATGGAAGCTCAGGTCCACAGGAGTTCATAACTGTGTTCCGAGCAGCAATGTTGTTGTGCGGAGAAACAGATTCCTTTTTGTGTTGAATGATTCCAGTTTTTCTCAGAAAGCAAGCTTTGGAGTGGTTTACCATATTGTTGGAAAATTCAATTGATAGTTGGGGGAGTTGGTGTCGCGATTTACTCTGCAATTTGCACATTGTGGGCCGCAGCCAAAAACCACCCATAATTTATGTGGAGTAAGACGAAAATCTGGAGAGAAGTTAAGAGAGTATTATGAGCGTTTTCAAGCGGAAGCTAGGCAAGTTAGAGGCTTGGAAAATTAGACGTATTTGTTGCTATTCACTACCGAGTTGTAACCAGGAGGGTTGGCAAACTCTTTAGCAAAGAAGAGGCCATCCACCAAAGAAGAGTTGTTAAAAAGAACTCGGAAGTATATTGATCTAGAAGAATTCAGAGCCTCGCAAAAGGAGATTGAACACGGGTTTCGAGAAGCTACACAGAACAAGAGGCCAGATAGACTTGCGGGTAGAGGACAGATAAAAGAAAGGAGACCTCGGTTAGTCGGAGTAAGGTTCCGAGAAGGATATAGAAGAGAGTTTACTCCTTTGAATGCTCCGAGAGCACAAATTTTCAAGGAGGTGATAGCACGAAGATGAGGAATATTTCGAGTCCCCCGCCCATCAGATCAAGTTATGTGCAAGCAGATAAATCCAAATGGTGTGAGTTTCACAGAGGATATATGGGCACCTCACAAATGATTGCTTCAATTTGCGCAATGTTATTAAGCAACTGATTAGAGAAGGAAAGCTTAAGAAGTATGTAAGATGAGGTGAAGGCGACGGATGTAAAGAAGGAGAAGGCAGATATAAAAGAGCATACAAAAGTCGCAGCCCGCCAGGAGAAAGAAGGAAGGAGATAAACAAAGGTCAGAAGACAGAGGCACAGTCATCCCCATCTAATCATGTATAAGTCAGGCATGTGTGCACTATAGCCGGAGGGCGAGCTGGAGGAGGAGAATCTGGCAATGCTTGGAAACAAATCTGAAAACCTGTATGGCCATTTCAGAGAAGCCCCGCTTTAAAGAAGAAAGGAGGAAGACAGGAAAGCAAATAGTGTTCGATGATTTAGATGATGAAATTTTGGATTCGGAGCACGACGATCTGCCGGTCATTTCAGGGCTATTAGCAAACTATCGAGTGGATAGAATGTTAGTAGATCCAGGAAGCTCTGTGGATATTATTTTTTGGGATGCATTTAGGCGGTTAGACTTGGATTATGATCAATTGGAGCCTTGTGGAGCCGACTTACTGGCATTCACAGGAGACAAGATTAAGCCGTTAGGATATATTCTTGATTAACATTAGGCAAAGCACCTACTCATAAAATGGTGACTTTGTCATTTGCGGTGGTGGATCTTGGGTCTGCCTATAATGTTATTCTTGGTAGGCCGTTTATGAAGAAATTTAAAATATTTTTGTCTATAGACCAGTTGGCCATGAAATTTGTGGCTAAGGACGGAAATACAGCCATGGTAAGGGCGGATCAAGTCGCTGCCCGAAGTTGCTACAACATGAGTCTGAGGATCCCTCAAGAAAGTAAGAAAGAAAAGGGAGGGAAAGGCAGAGAAGGAAGTCAAGCATGAAGGAAGCAAAGCAGACAAGGAGAAAAAGGAGGAAGAAATAAAAGGAGAAAGTAAGGAACCACAAGTGATGGTAGTAGGGCTAGACCCCCGGGTGTAAAATAAGGGAGAAAGGTCGGAACCCACTGGGACGATGGTCGAGTTTCAACACAGATCGTTACCTGAGCACACCACTAAAATGGGGTCCGGTTTTATCATGCCATCATTTGTTAGTAATGCCCGGTTCAAAGCAGGTTGCCCAGAAAAAGAGAAATGTATGTACGTGATATCATTGTATGTATGTATGAATGTTAGATTTATGGTCTACTTTCAATCATCGAAGGAACTCCTTTTCTGACCATGGATATGCGATGTTAAATGTAGGTGGAGGAGGAAGTGATCTTGGATTAATGTGAACTTTTATAACCATGTTGTGCACGATGAAAGCATCCAATCTAATGGTGGATTTTGTGAAAAATTCAGAGTAGGAAGTATTCATTTGTGTGAGATTGATATTGATTTGCACTAGTGTCAATAGTTCCTTTATCTATCTCTCATGGTAATCTCCACACAGAGTTGATATGTTGATTTATGTCATTGGCTGATCCAATTTCATTGTTGAGTTTGTTGATGAAGCACCAATAGCCTTGGTTTTAGTTAATGTGATGCATTTTGAGTGACATGCTCTGACATACCCATGATCCTCCGCTTTTGTGTATTTCCTTTGCATTTAGTAAATGAACTTATTAAGGTCATCTAGTTTTTGGCTAAGTTTTTCTTTCCCCCTATCAATAATAACATAGGCATACATTGTTTGTTTCTAGTAGTATTTTCTATTTGCCTGTTTGTGCTTTATCTGGTTTGCATGCTCTCCATTTCAGCATTGTTCATCATTGTAATCAAATTCATGTGGATCCTAATGATCTTTTTTACACTTTCAGATAAATTTTGATTGTATGAGTGAAATACAAATTGGAATTAAATAATTTTTTTTATCATTGTATACTGCAGTGGCTCCTATTACTGATGCAAATTGGCAATCACTTGTACTCGAATCTAAATCTCCCATTTTGGTTGAATTCTGGGCTCCATGGTGTGGTCCCTGCCGAATGATACACCCTATAATTGATGAGCTAGCAAAGCAATATATTGGGAAGCTCAAGTGTTACAAACTCAATACTGATGAGAGCCCTTCAACTGCTACTCGGTATGGGATTCGAAGTATTCCAACTGTTATGATATTCAAGGATGGTGAGAAAAAAGACACAGTTATTGGTGCTGTGCCCAAGTCAACATTGACCACCAGCATAGAAAAATTCTTATGAGGTGGTAAGAGAAGGCCTTTGCTAGAAGTAAAGCTATTTTTCCTATTAGCTTCTTCTCTTTGAAGCCAATGTCTAAGTTTCTAATTTGCTTACTTAAATACTCATTTATGCTCCTGTATAGTTATCGGATACAACCTTACTTTCTTTTTTGAGAATATTCTAGTTACCTATATGCTAAGTAAATTTGCCATTAAATTATAGCACGTTTTAAATTGATTTTACATCTTTGGCTTCTGTTTCTTTTCAACTTTCATTGAACATCGCTAACATGTGGGTGTATGGGTATATAAAAATAGATAATTTAAATAAAATTTGTTAGATCTCATGGATTGGATCGTTAGGACTTGTAGGCTGTAGCATCAATTCTTTGATGCATTTGTTTGAAGCGAAATACATGCATCTTTATTTTTTTCTCCTTTACCTTAAACTTGCCTTGGGATGGGGTTGTGATTTTAGCTTCTCTTTGTTATTTAGCCAATGGATGTTTCAGTGGTGGTGTTGTCTTCCATTTGCAGAGGGATTGGGTAGCTTGGCTACATTCATGGTTGTCTTGTTAGAGGGCCAGTTTTATGATAATTTAGAACTACACTAAAAGAGATTGTTTGATTGTGTTCTGATTTTTATTTTTATTTTCTTCTTAAAATTGTTTTGTAAAATAATTATGGAAACACGTGTTTATGTGTTTTTTTTTTTGTTTTGAAAGATAAAAGTCAAAATACAAAATAAAAATAACAGGAAGCGAAGGAATGACTATCAAAACGAATTTTAAGAAGAAAATAAAAATAGTCACAATTGATATTGGGGTTTCTGGTCGAGATTTATCCGGATACACCCCTTTCTACCCAGGTAAATAATTCAAGCAAATTTTCAGGTGCGAAGAATAATATCTGGGTACACCCATCCTTACTCGGGTAGGCAACAATTTTCAAAAAAATACCCGGGTAAGGAGGGGTGTACCTTGGTAGTCTTGGTGGTCAACGGTCAAACATGGGCAGATTGGTGTTATGTTTTTTAAGGGGGTCAAATTTTTGAAATAGTTTATAATAAAGGTCAAATTGATAATTAATTATTAATAAGGGGTTATAAGGGTTAAAAAGCCGTTGTAGGCCCATTGAACTAAGTCAAAAGTCTATAAGTGGATTAAGTTCAAAAAATCCTTAATTAGTAAGAAATACATAGGATGTGCATACACGTCATCTCACAAGATTACTTTAGTAGCTCAGAATTGGTTACCACCTCGTCTTGCCAATGACTAAATGACAGGGACAAGCTTCTAGTTAAGCCTCAACAACGTACCCCACCATGAGGCATCTCACAAACAGAGATGAGCTATAAAGACTTGTTGGAATAGAAGATTCTATATGTTGTTATGATTTGCTGTGATATGTTGTAACCTGTAGTTTGTTAGGATATGTATAACTGAGTCCTATTGTAATTAGGTGTAGTTACTTATCTTTAGGAAGTTGTTTTACTATTTGGTAACAGACTGTTTGGTAACAGCCGTAACAGCCTATTCTATTTAAGATACATTGATGTATAGTTTTAAATCAATGGAAATACTATCAATTGATACCATTTATCATGGTATCAGAGCGATCCCTTGTTAAAAAAAAAAAAAAACTTCCGCAACGTGTAGACTCTGAAAACAGTGAGCAGGAGATAGCTTCTGTTGAAGATGGCCAATGAAAACAGCAGCAGGTTGAAGCCATCAGACCCTGGATCACCATTCTATCTGACTGGATCAGATAGCCCAGGGATTCTTTTAACAACCGTTATGCTGAGAGGAGAAGCCAACTACGAGAATTGGGAAAAGTTTGTTGAACGTCCTCCATGCATTCACTGCGGGAAAACTAATCATGAAGCCTCTCGATGCTGGCAAGCATTTGGCTATCCTGGACGTGGTGGTAGCAGAGGACGAGGACCTGGACGAGGACGTGGACGTTTCGGTGGTGATAGGAGCAGTAACCCACAAGGAGGATTCCATGCAAAGCCATTTGGTGCACACGCAGCTCAAACAGAGGAACCACTAGAGCAAGCAAATGCATTCGCCGTTCTGACACCTGACGTGGTGACACAATTGTTATCATTGGTTGACAACCCGCAACGCTCAAAGGACAAATTAAATCGTAAAGATTCCCATTGTCACTGGCTTATAGATAGTGGTGCATCACGCCACATGACAGGGGTATTGGAATTGCTGGAGAATGTTACAGATGTTGAACCTTTGGCAATCGGTTTACCCAATGGAGCTATTACTTATGCTGTGCAACAAGAATCTGTTTCGTTTACTTCTTCTTTTTCATTATCCAATGTCTTATTTGTGCCAAATTTAAAGTGTAACTTGATATCTGTATCTCAGTTGGTACGACAACATAATGTTGATGTGGTATTCACTAATAATAGTTGTGTTTTGCAGGACCGCAAGCTGAGGACGGAGATTGGATTGGGTGATCACAGGGATGGTGTGTATGTGTTTCGACCAAGCCAAGCAGCAGCTTTAACAGTTCGCTCCAGTGATACGCAAGAACTTTGGCACAAACGGTTGGGCCATGCATCATCCGAAGCACTTTCTCTGATTCCTTTTTCTAGTAGCATTCGATTTGGCAATGTAAACAATAAGGCATGCGATATTTGTTATCGTGCCAAACAAAATCGATCCTCGTTTCCCATTAGTGATCGAAAGAGTAATAAAATTTTTGATCTTCTTCATTGTGATACATGGGGTCCTTACCGCACTTCCTCTTTCTCTGGTGCTTATTATTTTTTAACGATAGTCGATGACTTCAGTCGTGCTGTTTGGGTTTGTTTGATGGGTGACAAAAGTGAAACTTTTGGTGTGTTACGAAAATTTCTTTTAATGGTGCAAAATCAGTTTAATACAACAGTTAAGAGTATTAGATCAGATAATGGAACTGAATTTACTTCCAACAAGATGATTGAATTATTCACTGCCAATGGTATATTTCATCAGAAATCCTGTGTTCATACGCCGCAACAGAACGGTCGGGTAGAACGGAAGCATAGGCATATTCTAAATGTGTCTCGTGCTCTTTTGTTTCAAGCAAACTTGCCAATCAAATTCTGGGGGAGAGAGTGTGATGACAGCAGCTCATATTATTAATAGAACTCCCACAAAGCTTCTCAATGGCAAAACTCCTTATGAGCTTTTGCATGGATCTGTTGCTGATTACAGTCACTTAAGGATATTTGGCTGCCTATGTTATGCGGTGACACAACCAAAACCTACAAACAAATTTAGTCCACGGTCTAGGCGGTGTATGTTTGTTGGTTATCCTCATGGGCAGAAAGGTTGGAGAGTGTATGATCTTAATACTAAGGAATTCTTTGTGTCACGAGATGTCAGTTTCCACGAAGATGAGTTTCCTTTTGTTGCTATAAGTGTGCCTACACCTAGCCCATCATTACCTACATTTATACCAATAGATTCTAATGATTCTGCCAATCCAGTATCTCAATCAACTTCACATGACTGTGAGGCAGAAGTGCAGTTGGAAGATAGGGGGAGTGTCCATCAGTCTGAAAGGGAGCCGAATGAAGATTCTACATCAAATGCTGATCAAGTGCAAAGGAGTGAGGATCCAGCTCCTGCTCTCGTACAAAGGAATGAAGATTCAGCTCACGAACTTGTGCAAAGAAGTGCAGAATCAGCTCAAAACGATTCTCTTCGTCCAGCACGCACACGAAGGCCTCCGTCCTATTTGAGTAACTACAAATGTAATCTGATTGAGGCACATACATACACTCCCAGTCTCACCTCTTCTAGCTCCACCTCAGGTATATGGTATCCAATTGCCAACTATGTGAATACTAACAATTTTTCTTCAAAACATCGAGTTTTTGTTGCTGCTATTGATGCAGGTAGTGAACCTCGGTCATTTAAAGAAGCAATGACCAATGATGTTTGGCGTAAAGCTATGGCTCAGGAGATACATGCACTAGAAGAAAATAATACATGGACTATCACTGATTTACCTGCAGGCAAACATGCCCTTCCATGTAAATGGGTATATAAAATTAAATATCATTCCAATGGTAGCATCGAGCGCTACAAAGCAAGGTTGGTAATTGCAGGTAATCATCAAGTTCCAGGAGAAGATTTCCATGAAACTTACGCTCCTGTAGCGAAAATGGTGAGTGTTAGAACTCTACTCTCGGTTGCAGCTGCAAAAGGTTGGTACTTGCACCAAATGGATGTTCATAATGCGTTTCTTAATGGAGAACTGGACGAAGAAGTGTATATGCGCATACCGGCAGGCTTTAATCAAGGACAAGGAAGAAAAGTGTGTCGTTTGCAAAGGTCGTTATATGGCTTACGACAATCTCCCAGGAATTGGTTTGCAAAGTTGAGTTCCTCACTTATTAAATACGGTTTTGTTCAATCCGAAGCAGATCACACTTTGTTCACTTTGAAGCGCGGTTCTACCTTCTTGACCATACTAGTCTATGTTGATGATTTGGTGTTGGCAGGCAATGATTCCCAAGCATGTCAAGAGGTTAAGATTTATCTTAACAAGTGTTTTAAAATTAAAGATTTGGGTCACTTGAAATATTTTTTGGGCATCGAGGTTGGTTTCTAAGACGATTCGAACTACTTTTGTTCGTTCTCATTTGCAACTCGCAGACATTTTCACCAAAGCACTTGGTCGTGTTCCATTTCTTGCCGTTCTTTCCAAGTTAGGCATTTCATGTCTTCATGCTCCAACTTGAGGGGGAGTGTTGGAATAGAAGATTCTATATGTTGTTATGATTTGCTGTGATATGTTGTAACCTGTAGTTTGTTAGGATATGTATAACTGAGTCCTATTGTAATTAGGTGTAGTTACTTATCTTTAGGAAGTTGTTTTACTATTTGGTAACAGACTGTTTGGTAACAGCCGTAACAGCCTATTCTATTTAAGATACATTGATGTACAGTTTTAAATCAATGGAAATACTATCAATTGATACCATTTATCAAGACCACACAAATGAATCAATCAGATGACATCAAGGAAACTAGAACACAAAGGCGGTCATTTGAACCAACAAGCAGGTTATGTTGCACTCTTAAATACAAATGAAAAGACCTAGGTATATTCATCTTTCTTATACTCAATCACTGAGTAGAGAGTTAGAGTGCCTTGTAGCTATCCCCCTTTCATTCTTGCAAAATACTTCAACTTATGGCATCCAAACACTATGTCATGATACCATTCAGCTAGA